TCTCTCTCTCTCTCTCTCTCTCTCTCTCTCTCTCTCTCTCTCTCTCTCTCTCCTTCCTTCCTTTCTTCCCTTTCCTTCTTTCTTGATTTCTTGATTTCTTGATTGATTTTGGTTTGTCAAGCATGTATGAGAAAACAAGTATAAGTATGAATATAACATATAAACATATAAGTATAAGCAGGTATAAGTATATACATAAGAAATGAATACAAATAAATGGGAACAGTAGGACAAGGATGGAAGGCACGCTGGTGCGCTTATGCACACCCCCTTACAGGCCTCTCAGGAATGGGATTGGGTCCACGATAGACAGTTTAAGGTTAAAGTTTTGTGGGTTTGAGGATGTAACAAACAGAGTCAGGTACTGCATTCTAGGCATTGACTACTCTGTTGCTGAAGTCATATTTTCTGCAATCAAGTTTGGAGAGGTTTACTTTGAGTTTGTATATATTGTTTGCCCGTGTATTATTACGGTTGAAGCTGAAGTAGTCATTGACAGGTAAGATGTTGTAGTAGACAATTTTGTGTATTAAGCTTAGGTCAGACTGTAGGCAGTATATATAGTTCTAGGTTGTCCAGATCCAAAATTTCAAGCCGAGTGGCATAAGGTATTCTATTGCAAGCAGAGAAGTGGATTGTGGTTCAGTCTTCCAAGTCTCAGCTGAACAATCTAAATACTTCCACAATTTATACAATCGTTGGTCTGCTCCATCTGAGAAAGTTTTTTTTAAAAATGAAACATAACTTTAAGATGGGTGGATTTCAATTCCCAAATTTCCAAACCAGCATCGCTGGGGAAATGCTGAGAGTGGAAGTCCATCTATCTTAAAGCTGTCAAGTTTGAAAAACATCAGTCTAAGAACTCCAGCAGCAATTTGCCTGGGGGGAAAAAAACCCAGAATCAAACTAACAAATACACACAAAAAGCAAAACTCTTTCTTGAACAAAAGAGAAGCTAGAGTAGATTAGGAGCCTTGTGCCATTCACAAGCAAAGAATATCAGAGAATAAGAAGAGCTCAGTCTTGAGCTTCATCCTCCACCAATTTTTTATTTATTTGTTTATTTATATCCTGTCTTTATTGTTTTCACAAATAATTCCAGGCAGCAAACATATCCAACACATGCTCCTCCTCCTATTTTCCTCACAACAACAACCCTGTGAGGTGCGGTGAGGTGAGATGAGCGGAGAGTGACTGGTCCAAGGTCACCTAGTTTTCTTTCATGGCTAAGGTGAGACTTGAACTCAGAGTCTCCTGCTTTCTAGCCTGCAGACTTAACCACTACACCAAACTCACCAAGAAGAATACCTGGCTTTTACAGGGAGTTATTTCTTACCCCTGTATACATTTCTTATATAATACTGCTTTCTTTTTTCTTCCTGTAACTCACTCTGTCCTTTGTAATTCTGGTCATTGTATATATTTTGCATTGGTGTGGGATTACATCATGAGGAAATGATTCCCATCCTATTTTGGCAGCAGGTGTGAACTGAATAAAATTCTGCCCCTTCTTAAATAATGGGTAAGGGCTGGATGGAAAGAATAGCTGCATCCCCCCATTGTTGCACAGTTCTAGAGATGTGCACAGCTTCAGAGCTAGGGGGGGGGGAATGCTACATTGGGGGGTGGGGCAATCCCAGGAAAATATGCAGTTAAATTAACAAGCTCTCAGCAGGGTGCCACAAGGCCTTTGAAGCCAGCACGAAAGAGCTGTCAGTGCCTTCTTACCTCAAAGATATATTTTCCTGAGATACATGAGAGCTGAGGAAAAGACATATTTTTATAATAGTTTTATTAAAGATTACAGGTACAACAGTAAAAACTAATACAAACTGGAAAAGCAGAAGAATCAAAAGAAGAAGCTGAAGAGGCAGAAAAGAAAGAAAAAAGGGAAGACTACAAAGAGAAATGGAAAGGAAAGAAAAACAAGAATACAGCAAATTAAAAAAATGGACATCCAAAAATATTTTTAAGGAGGCACCAAACATGTACAACCCATCTACTTTGAAGCATCTTTGGTTTTGGATTTGAAGCACAGCACGTTGTTACACACTACTTTTCTTAGAATGTACCCATTTTTTAATTTCTCCAACACCTAAGATGAAGCCTGCATGGTGAAGATGTTGTAATGCCACTTGAGTGAAGTTCTATTAGACATTAAAAAAAACTTTGGCAAAAATAGATAAATGGGAAGAACACCTGACAATTGGGTGCAACCTTGTCAACATCAATAAGCTGTAACTAAACTAAAATGAGTATGCTTAAACTGCAGGTTCACAACGAGAAATGTGAGGCTCCAAGTGAGAACAAGTGTACTGAAAAATAGGGGTTAAGGAGCAAATAAGATAGCAGAGATTAAATGAGAAAATATTATTTCATTACCTGATCCAATGACTTCCTCTATCTTGACAAATGATACATCAATTTCCTTGGCAAATTCCCGAATGGCTTCATTGGGGTCTTCATAGGTAGAAGGGTCAATGTAATATTTGACCCCAAGGCCTGGAGGGAGACCACAGACTCCAGAGTCAGTAATGAGCTTGAGAGAAGAGGCAGCTAAAGAAAGAGGAGATTCTCAATCACCTACCCCGAGTGCTTATGTACTGTTGCAGGCGATCTGTGTATGGAGTTTCTCGTCTCTTACTGTGGAAGAAGAAAACAGAAGGAAAACTAAGATAGGATGATCTTCTTAGATGCATCAGGTCCAAAGGACTCTTCTAGAGCTATGAAAAAGGGGCAGGCAAAAGCAGTCAAAATTATGTTGGATGTTGGGGAAATAATCATGGGGTTTTACTTGAAGGCGGAAGATCACAAATATCCAATCATTCTATGTCTGCTCGTAAGTTATGCATATTAAGTATAACTTCCTTTCAAGTATAAAGGAGTCAGAAGGAATGTAGAATGTAGAAAATTACTCATGGTGAGGATAGACTAGAAAGAGAAAATATTGTTCTTCTTTTTTATGATAGCTAAATCTGAACCTCAAATGACGATTCAGAAATACTTTTATCTGTGTATATAATAGTTAATAGTTAAAAACACAAATAAAAAGGACCAATAAAATATCAGCATAGTATTTTTTCAGCCTTAGCAGAAAGTTGCACTAAATGACCATTTGATCATCCAATGCTGTGACCATAAAAATATGCCATTGGTTTAGGGGAGCATTGTTGGAAATTGTAATACCGGAAATAATAACTCTCATATTCCTTTATTCAAAGTTCTTTGAATTTTTATTGAAAAGCAGTTTTTAATAAAATCCTAAAGCAGTTTTCAATAAGGATGGAGGAAGTACAGAGGAACAATAAAGTACGTAGTACAAACTTAATATCGGCTACTCTGATCTGATCTCTTACGATGTTCTTAAGTAAGTACTGAATGGACACTTATGCAGCGACACTATATAATGACAATGACACTGGCGATTCTATTGGGTGTTTATCTGATAATCTGATGTAACATAGGCTCAGTTTGTGCACTTCTTACTATTTGTTTTGATACACAGAAACACATATCCATTTATAAAGACAATTTATGCCCATATTCCCAAAAGGTGGTAAAAGGGGAGCTCAGGACTATTTATTTGGTGACAAGAGTTTATGATACACCTCTAAAAGTTGCATTTTGAATAAGATTTTCAATACATTGGGCAGAGTACCAAGTAAGGATATGAAATGGATTTGACTGGAACTCCTTTGTGCTTTTAATAGCCTTTAGATTAGATGAATAATTATGTCTAGTTTTGAGATTTGGTGATTAAACAAAAAAATAGTAACAAATTTCAATTGAAGTTGGAATGAAGATTGAAGCTACAGACTCAAAGATTCCTTTCAAATAGCTTGTTTATTTGATATTTTAAAGAAGTTTTAAACTGATCTATAACAGAGATATGGATTTTTATTTTTATTTTATTTGGCCAAGGGAGAAATTCCTGGGGGAATCTTTTGGAGATACTTGCTAATAGTGGGTAGGCTTGAAAAAAGTAGTGACTGGGGAACCCATTATTTTTCTGACACTCTTTTTATTCTCTTTTTGATCACCACTTCTGTCTCACCAAGTGGCAGATTGCTAGGTAAAGGTGAGACAACTCTTACCAGAAATCTAAACTGATTACTTGGAAGGGCTGTTGGAAATTAAATTGGGGACTAAACCTAGAGGTTGCCTGCCTCTGAATTATAGTGGAGGTGTTTCTTTTTCAGGCTTGGAGTCACATGACTGGTGATGTCACAAAGCAAGTGGGGTTGGCCAAACATCCATTATCAATGTGTGGGTCTAGGGGTTATAGTAGCAATAGTTTTGCACAGGCGTATCCATTTATTCTTTTATCCCCAAAACAGAAAAATGTAGCTCATTTGGAGGAAAGGGTAATGCTTAAGAGTGTTCTGGATGCTTTAAACCTCAGCAAAGCTTAATAGATTATTTCCATTATTTCACATTCCTCTTTCCCCCAAAACATTAAAAAGGAGTCCAAAAGTTTGTGCCATGGCATTGTGGAACTGCAAATGGGTTGCCAATAGCAGCCTACAGATTGTCTACCCTTGCTTACAGTTTCCTAAACATATTAGTGGAAAGAGTATGTCTACAATTGAGGACATATTGACCAAAGTTGCTCTTCTAGATCTATAATCTACAATCCTAACTCTATCACATTTCTCCAGCTATAAGGTCTGAATATGAGGTCAAAAGGAAAGGTATGCCCTCCACAAATATTATATCTGGTTTCCAACTATCATCCTTGTATAATATGTAAGTTGTAGATGAAATGTGAGGAAAAAAATAGCAGACCATATCTCCCAATAGAGTTCTAGGACATAATAGGATTCCGGTTTGAAAGCAGATTTCCAAAATCATGCTATACTCCCTTACCTGGGAGTAGTTTTATGTTGAATCCACAATATCTTTACGAGTATGAAAGCAGAACACCCACCTTTTAAAGACAATGGCCAGGATGGCAATGGCAGCAATTACCATGAAGGCCAAGCCACCCAATGCTGAGCCTACAATAAGTGGCAATCGATCCTGCACCATCTCAGAGCGCTCACCTGTCAAAGAAGGAAGGGAGTCTGTTATCTTCTTATATACAGTCTGTATTGTTGCGAATCCCTCTAATACAGTCTTAATATTTGAACACACTCTTCCAAAATGTTGTTAAGAGCTCTGCAACCTCAGAATATTGATAAATCTAGATTTGGAAACTAAGAAGAAGTATCACTTACCTCCTACAAGAGTCTGGAAATACATCTTTCCACTGTATGGCCCATAACCCACTGCTGTCCGGGCTCGTACTTGAAAAGCATAGATCTTCCCTGGGCTTAGACTGGAGATGGTGGCCATATTAGTTTCGCTGGTTAAGGTGAATGAAGTGTCCTCATCTTCTGACTAGGAATCAATATAGGTTGATTAATAGACTTTCACTTCTTCGACCTCAGCAATACTCTATTTCTCAGATACATCCACATTTTTGTTATTTAATCAAGTTCCCTTCTGCCCAAACTCCTGAACTAATCATTCAAATTACCTAGGTAAAGGTAAAGGCTCTCCTCACACATATGTGCTAGTTGTTCCTGACATTAGGGAGCAGTGCTCATCTCCATTTCAAAGCTGAAGAGCCAGGCTGTCCGAAGATGTCTCTGAGATCATGTGGCTGGCATGACTAAATGCCGAAGGCACACGGAACACTGTTACCTTCCCACCAAAGGTGGTTCCTATTTTTCTACTTGTATTTTTACATGCTTTCGAACTGCTTGGTTGGCAGAAGCTGAGACAAGTAATGGGAGCTGCTACTTTAGCTCACTCACACGGTGCTAGGGAT